GATGAAAATTGCAACATCGAAAATTTTATCAAAACTTCAAATATTGTTTTCTCAAAAACTAAAAGTTATTTTTAAAAACGTGTTGGTTCATTGGAAAGAGGACACTTTTATTAAAACTTTGCGAAATTTTCAAACTCATTTTCCAAGAAATGGATTTTATAAGAATTTTTAAAACTTAATCGGCGAAAATTGTAAAATTCGCAAAAATTTTCGATCATTTAAAAATTTATTTCTCAAAAATTAAAAGCGATTTTTCAAAAAGGCTTGTTGCATTAAAAAGAGGATACTTTAATTAATAATAGAAAGTGATAACAGGAACAGTCCTGTTAGTTATGAATATGATGATGATTTAGAAGCAAAGAGAAGAAAAGTAGACGAAATTGCAACAAGAGATTTTATATATCATATTGGGATTATTACAATGAAGTTGCTAATGACAAACCTGATATAAATAAAGTTGTATTCAATGAAAAAAAGTCTTATTGAGGTTGAACTTGATTATTAACTGTAGTGGCCAACACCAAAAGAGATATTAATTGCTGTGAATGGTGGAGTACTAAGTAATAGATTTTTAATATCCGGCCAAAGCCGAATATTTGGCAACTATCCAGTATCCGGCCGGATTTCCGTTGCACCACTGATATCTACCAATATTATTAAATGCCAAAGACGATAATTACCACTCTGTTTTTTATATCTGTTAAATTATTGAAAAGTTGGTATCAGTTGGCAAGATTAACAGGGTTTATATTTATATACAAATTAATTGAAATAAAATAAATACAAGAAACATTCTGTATTTTCAGACCAATTATAGCTTTAGCTTTGGTAAAATATACAGAGTGTATTAAACGTTTAGAATATAGCCAATAACTTCGTCATTTATGGTTTTACAGAAAAATGTTTCAAATACAAGTTTCTTTATTAATCGTGGTGCATTTTTTGGTGACATTTACTTGTTTGTATTGCTTTTTGTTTCGTTGCTATGGCAACCAACATTGTTATTTTAAATGGGATGCATCAGAATCTAAAATATTGCACACGAGTTATGAATCACCCTCTATAATTTATGAAATAGATATTTCCCCAAGTCTAATTGAGGCTTTCTTTTTATTTTTTATAGTTAATTGTTATCAATATCGATTATAATATAATTTGCGTTAATATAAGTATTATTTACACAATGCAAATAAAAATAAAAGTATTGATGTTAGTTTTTTTAAATTAAAAGCATAACAGTGTTAGTAAAAGAAGGTAAAGGTGAAATAAAAAAAGAAGAAGAAAGAAAATCTGCAGTCTTTTAATTATTAATTAACGAAGAATTTTCGTCTCAATAAATTTAATTAATTAATAATTAACAACAAACAATTCGATTGCAATTAAAAAAAAAGCAAAGCCACAAAGAAAATAAAGATAACACATCGGAATGTAGCAGCTAACATTTTTCTTTACAAAAAATACTATCCTACTTGTAACCACAGATCTGCAAATCATCAGCCATCATAACAATGTTGTTCTTGTGATATTGACAGTGACGTTGTTATTCTAGGGGTCTTAATGATATTTCCAAACCCGGTACCAATGTTTCAACTGTGGGCGTTTGGACGACGACGGTCTGTTTCGAATCTAACGTCTGTAATCGCATCCTCACCTGTGTGTTCGCCCTTTTCGCCCTGATGTTAAACACCCCGTAAACTATCGGGTTCATACAAGAATTCGTACACGCAAACAGGAATAAGCCGCGCTGAATTTTCGGATCTAATTTTGTCGCCTGATCACGATCATACCAGAAACTGTAATAAGAAAATTAAAGTTTAGTATATAAATCATTTGAGCAATTTCAACTGGATTATTATGGGTTAAAGGAATTGTCTTCCTTGGTGTAAATTTAATAGGAAACAGTTTGAGTTGATTACAGAAATGCCCCTCATTAAACAACAGTTTAATTGGGAGATGCAGAAATAGCCGATAATCCATCAATTACTTCACCAATTAAATGGAAAATAAATATTTATTATCAATTTCAAATTTAAATCCATCAAAACATCTACAATTTTCAATATGAAGCGAAATTGTCAATTTGGTTTTAAATTCTCTGTATATATATATATTTTTTTTTTTGTTTTAAGTTTATTTTAGCCCCGACCGAAAAGCTCAATACTGATTTATTTTACAACCACTCCAGGCGATATGTTTCGACTTCAAAGTAAGATGTATTGGAAAGCTTTCCAAGTTTAAAAAAAAAAGAAATGCTGGAAAGTTTTAATTTCCAAATACGTGCTGTTCATTCTGAGAATAAAATCGATAATATTTAAAATACTTACAAAACTAGAATTGCGTTGTAAGGTGTCCAACATATAAAAAACACCAAAACTATAATAATAGTCATTTTAAGTGTTCTGATTTTTGCCCTCCCTAAAAATCCCAAACTCGATCGTCGTATTCTATCTGTAAAAATAAACAAACAATTAAAACTAGTTAGTTTCGTGGTGAAACGTACATTTAAACGGTTTCATAGTTTCTAAAATGTGGCAAGGAAATCTATTTCAATACACGTATCTGAAATAAAGTTTTACCGCAAATACAAGTTAGTTTGATCAAATGGTTTAATTGTTTTAGGTGATTTGCATTGAGAATAAATTATAAAAAAAAAATTAATTCAATTACTTACCCCCATCCGTATTTGTTCTTTTAAAGATTTCAATCAAAATAGCAACATAAGAATATATTATCACAATGAGTGGAATAATGTAGGTAACGATTGTACCAAAAGCTGCATAAACTACTTGAAGTGTATGCGTTTGTAGGGTATTGTAGGTAATACATTGAACGTAATTTGTGATGTTGGGGTGAGTTCGCACTTCAAAAACAAGAGCCTATAACAAATGAAGAAAATATAAATTATTTATCGATGTAGAATAAAAACCTGATTTTACTTTTTATTGCTCGTTTTAAAAGTAGTAACTTTTAAAATACAATACCTACACGGTTTTTAGGGTATCGCATTTTATGTTTACCACTTTTATTGTTCCCACCGGTTGAAACTGTTACTTTTATTACTCGTCCATCAGAAGTTTAGTAGAAACGAGAATTTTCCTATTTATTTGTACCTTTTACATATTGATGCTTATCCTTTACTAACTTCATGTATTAATTTATTTGATTTTTTTTATATTTTGGAAAAAATTTGGATATTGCGGACAATCTCTCAACTTTATGGTTTATGGATAAACTTAGGAGTAAATATATGAGTGCTTCGAAAAAAATGATCGGACTGAGGGTGCCATTGCAGTACTTGAGGATGATTAGGCTACATATGTAGTGTCGTCATGTAGTATTGTGCTAGCAGTATGTAATCTTCTGCCCACAGTAGTAGGCAGTCTTCTATTACAAGCAATAGTCTGCCATCAGTATATGGTGAAAATTGCAAGATTGAAAATTTTATCAAAACTTCAAATATTATTATCTCAAAAACTAAAAGTTATTTTTCAAAACGGGTTGGCTCATTGGAAAGAGGACACTCTTATTAACACTTTGAGAAATTTTCAAACTCATATTCCGAGAAATGGATTTTATACGAATTTTTAAAACTTAATCGGCGAAAATTGCAAAATTTTAAAAGAATTGACAATCATTTCAAAAATTTATTTCTCAAGAACTAAAAGCGATTTTTCAAAACAGCTTATTGCATTAAAAAGAGGATACTTTAATTAATAATTGGTGATATTTCCACAAGGATCCTTCAAGAAATTAATTTTATAGCGAATTTTACAAGTTATAGATGAAAATTGCAAGATCGAAAATTTTATCAAAACTTCAAAATTATTATCTCAAAAACTAAAAGTTATTTTTCAAAACGTATTAGTTTATTGGAAAGACCAATCACCATTCAC